GGAAGGAAGGAAGGAAGGAAGGAAGGAAGGAAGGAAGGAAGGAAGGAGTAGCAATAGCACTTAGACTTATATACCACTTTACAGTGCTTTACAGCTTCTCTCTAAGCGATTTACAATGTCAGCCTATTGCCTCCAACAATTTGGCTCCCTGTTTTACCAATCTGGGAAGGATGGAAGGCTGAGTCAACCTTGAGCCTGGTGAGTTTCGAATTGCCAAATTGCAGGCAGCCGGCAGTCAGCAGAAGTAGCCTGCAGTCCTGCATTCTAACCATGGCGCCACCGTGGTTAGACAGCTTGCACCTCGCCAGACTTCACAGCTTTGGAAGCAATCCTCCATCAATCCTCCAAGCCAAAAGTATCTAAAAACAGTTAAATCGTGGCAACTAAGCTTAACATTCACTTAACAGATGTCTTACTTAACATAAATTGTGGTCACACAATTATCTCTGAGGATTATCTCTATATGTGTTTTCTTCCTAGGAAGTTTATGTTTGTGTTATAGTTTGGCTAGTATGAATTCCAAGGAAGTATCTTACTCTGTGGCTTTTCTACATAAAGGTAAGTTTATACCATCTCTGACAAAATTATCTGGATGTTATACTGATACATGATTAATATGAGAGGCAGTTTGATCTAATGGTTAAGGTCAGAGGTGAGCTGCATATACTGTAATACCCGGTTCACCAGTGCAAAACCGAAAATGTGCACACATGCGCCCCGCCTTCATTCACAGCTGCAAAAACAGATTCCTGCATGCCACATCCGCAGTAAATCAAGCAGGCAAGGCGCACAACTCAGCTGGGATGCAGGGGCCGGGTGAGCAAGCCAGTTTTATAAGACGGGTTAGCACCGGGGCAAGTGGGCGGGCCCAGCCGGTGGTCAGAACTACCAGTACGGGCTAGCCGGTGTGAACCAGCTGCAATCCACCACTGGTTAAGGTGCCAACCTAGAAAGCAGGAGGCTGTGAGTTCAAGTCCTGCCTTAGCCATGAAAGCCAGTTGGGTGACCTTGGGGCCAGTCTTTCTTTCTCGCCTCAACCCACCTAACAAGGTGGTTGTTGTGTTGTTGTGGGGAGGAAGTTGTGTTGGATATATTTTGCCACCTTGAGTTATTTGTAAAAAAAAAATAATAAAGGCAGGATACAAATACATAAATAAATGTTCAGTGGAAATTGTTTACTGGTAAATTTGCAGCACTAAGACATTTTGCCCAAACTTTTAAGAATGCATTTCTGAAGTATGCACTTCAATATCTGTTTAAAGAAACAGGTACAGTAGAAAACCTTTAAAGGGAACACTGCACAAACTACCTTCTATTTGAATTCTGTTTCCTGTTTGAATTTCTACCCTACTCTCTATTTAAAAATCCACCATAAGAACACCAGGCCTACTTATGAAATGCTTTGTCTATCCTTCTTTTTTATTTAATTTTATTTAAATCTTTCTGTGAATGAACAACAACAACAAAAAATTAACGGTTAATTAATGCTGTGGTTTGTAAAATTCAGGTGGAAACCTAACCTTGATCCCTTGTTTACGTTCCTGTTTTAATTCATATCACTTTCAGAATTATATTACCTGCACCTTTACATCTTTCTCTTTTCAGGTTATAGTAAAACTTATACCGCCACTTTGGAAGAGATGAATTATCTGCAGATAAAGGAGCTGGGTTTTTTGGATCTTGGTAAATTAATAATTTAATCCCCCTCTTCTCCTTTTCTGCTTCTTTGAATGAAACACACTTAACGATTTAAGGCACTTGGGAGATATTTCCACTGAAACGCTAGAACATGTGTGTTTTGTGTTGTCTTTGTGCTCTGCCGCAATCTCTTCCCGATCCCCATAAATCTGTTTTGCCAAATAAGGAATTGTTTCTAACTTGGCTTCATTCTGCTTGGCAGAACAAAGCATTTTAATAGACTTGGAATTTTTCTTGCGGGGAAACATTTGAATTCTTCAGCTGCTTCACTTCCTGAGAAATATCCCATAATGTTGGAATTGTTTTAAAAGGGGAGATAAATTGTGGATTGTCTGCTTAACGAAATAGAATAGAAAAGAATGGAATGGAATGGAATGGAATGGAATGGAATAGAATAGAATAGAATAGAATAGAATAGAATAGAATAGAATAGA